ACCGGATCTCTACTACACGTTTGCGTTCGTACGAGCCTGAGTAAAACGGTAGTGTAACAAGGCCAAGTAGGAGATAACTCGGATCGACCTGCTTGCTGCCGCTTCACTATATACATACCAATCCGCCTATGTTGGGTGTATGGGCTGCAACCAGTTAACCGGATTAACCTTATTGGACTGGCGCATTATTTGCACTAAGGCACGCTTTGCGGCCGCAGTAGCAACAGCAGAAGCCGTAACGGCCGCGAAAAGTCTTCATCCTCTATTCGGCCATGTTGTACAACCTAACCAATCCCCATTGGTCTGATCTCCGTTCTCCTTTTTCTCATCTGTTCACTCAAACCCTCGATCCCTGCCTGCTTGCATGGCCTTCCTTTTACTGGTAGAGGTTTAACTATGTATACTTCTGCGCTACCGGCTGCGCTCAGTAGCTGCTACGCTAAGCGGTTGCGGGTGCAGCAATAGTAGGCAAAACGGCGGTGAGCAACGATACTCGCGGGATTGTGAATGGGACTAATTCGAGGAGTGTGTGAGCAGTGAATCGAGAGCAGTCTCATGCGCCCTTCGCATGCCCTCTTTCCCTCCTTTTCGTGTCAATTAGTCCGACCCGGAACCGGCAGACGCTTTCGAAGACGATGAAGCTCTCAGTCATGCTCAGCCGTCCACTTCGGACTTGGCACAACGTGCCCGGGTCAACCCCTACCAGGTCTCCGGATCCGCCCCGCTAACAGAGACGTTCCGCTACGACCCTAATTCTCCAACTCATCTGCCTCCCCCAACAGCTTACCGCCACTATGCAACGTTTGAGACCATTGTGGCGGCTGCTGATATTGCATGGCGGTATGCTGGTTCTCTAGCACTAACACAACTATCATGATCCCATGAGAATATTTGCCTACACGCAATATCACGTCGCCGGAGACCCGTCCGCCCATGATACTGCTGAGATGCTTCCTTTTACCGCTATCTTAAGTAACGATTACTGTCATTTCTATATTGGCAGCAGGGGATTGGTTCTACTACTCACTGCGCGACCATATCGACAACAAATGTTATGCGATATTAAAAGCCCAGGCAAGAGAAAGTGGAACCATTTTTGCACCCAAAGATCACTGGGGTACACGGCCGTCATTCAACTGAGAACTGAGAACAGTAAAATGAAAAGTAAATAGTTCACAGCGTGACTGAAAGAATGAACTTGAAGTGGGGCCTGAAAAATGCAAATGCAGTCAACAGTGCGCAGGTGCATCAACAAAGGAACTTGCTGTTAACTTCCTTTCTAATTAACGTGCTAACAGACTGTAGCTTGTGGTTAAAAATGTGTGTGGATAACGTCTGCTGCTTATACAGTTACTCATGTGGCGTCTATGATCTACTTGTTGCTATTGTTACTTACATGCTATTATATTAGGACCATTTCAATGTTTATAATGTATTAGTTCGCTGCTACTCGCACGGAAAAGCAGATACTTCGTTTTACGCCTACGAAGAGCCTGATTACTCGGTATAATAGTGGCAATAGTAAACCTAGAGCTATTCTAGATTTCATACAACGAACAACCGAGGCGCACTTATATGCATGTACTATATATGGCTAAGAATTGGCCAGTATTTTATGTTAATAATTAGGTAACATTAATTACAAATAATCTTTGGCTTGACTGCTAATTTTTCTGTCCTAACCAAAATACGTGATTCCCTGGTTTAACGAAGTAACGTACGACGGATAGAATATTAAGAATACTTCAAGCACACAGGCATTAAAGATAGCACAGTATCGATATAGATGAATTTCGCTGCGCTCGATAAAATCTGACATTGCCTATGCTATGCATTGTTTTTTTCATATAGCTATAATCAACGAGCCAGATAGGAATTGAAGATACCAAAAAAAATCGGCCACAAAACTGCATCCCAAAAAATGTAACGTTTGAATATATGTAATGCAGTAATCCACGACCTTGTTTCAATCTCAAGTTTAGTTAGACAATTTTTTTTTTAACTTATTCATGCTAATATAGAGAAAGGAAGTAACGTAGTCACGAGTACTTCTGACAAGATGAAAATATGGAATATGATGACGATTTTAATACATGGACCAGAAAGTCAAAAACAACATTTTTAAATTAATAAAACCTACACGGTTTGGCAAAAAATCATTAAGTTTATGAAATCTACTGTCCTATTTCAGCAGTACGACTTTTGGTCCCGTTGGAGCTTTGCTAAATATACAACAGTATCTTGAGCCTTCTGAAATCAACCCGGAAGCTCATGATTTATCAAAAAAAAATTATAGAAATAGTTCGGATTTTGATAAATCAATTTTTGCATGCCTAACTTTCGGCTTTATTTGTTAATTTGTTCAGATGCAGATTGTGCTAAATTGTGCTTCTCTTGTGAATCTGTGAAAATATTTCGTTTCAAGAGAATAGCTTCAAATGTTGCGCTAAGAAGACAAAATTATTATACCATAAATAGCTGTCGACACAGATTGGCCGAAGTCTCTCCTGTCTCAACGTTTTTTCATAGCTGACTCTCACTTGGTTGCTCTCTGATCAAGCTTCGGCAAGCATTGCTTCAGGGAGTTTAACATGGGTAATCTCGATACACCAAAGACGACAAAAAACTAGCATTTTCGTTTCGTTTCTTGTTGGACACTTTTTTTTCTACTTATTATTAACGTGCGTCTACGTTTAGATTCAAACCTGGATCACCTTTATCTTCCTGTAGTTGATAAGCAAGCGACGCGTTACCACTGCATCATTTCCCTCACTATCACAACCCTTTCACTGTCTACGTTAGACATTGTCCTATTCTTTTTTTTTTTTTGTTCAAGCTAACCTGCATTCTAATTAGCAACGATCAACTACTCGGCTAGTGGATAGGAAAACTATAACAAAAACAACCGTAACACCTTGACACAAAGAGTTAATATATCCGGTAAACGATCACATATTGATATCGATTTAGTAGCTCGTGCCCACAAACAACAGACAAACAGATATAAGGGAGGATAACAATCGTTTGGACGGAACTAGCAATGCACGTTGCTGGCCAGAGGCCTGAAATTATACCTGTGGAAGGAAACGTACGACAAAGAATTAGACTTCGAAATGCTGATGAATAAGCTCACACCGGTACGGTGCCAGAAGGGGCAAACGTGTTCAGCCAGAAGTTGTTTAGCCTGCTTTAATTATGAACCGGTGGTAAACTTATTTGGCTGGTAGCTTATGTGCGGTAACAGCACCAGAAGTTAGTAAACATCTCTACGCTATTTACGTATGAAGCGATAGAAGCAGTTGGCCGTAGGTGGCTAAATGGGTGGTCAAATCATCTTAGTGCACCTGTAATATTCAGCATTTTACTCCATAGAAGTAGTAACAATGGCAGTAGAGAAGCTGTACAGATGGAACGCACATAAAGCACTAGATTAACAGCAAAATACTACCAATAGCAGCACAAACATCGGTCGAGTAGTAACTACGCACCTTAAATCCAGCTACGTCCGATTCCTCGTCTCTTCTTCCCCCCAAACGTCCGCCTGCCAGCCTACGGACGCAGAGCTAACCAGACGTAACAACGCCATTATAGTGGCGTTGGCTGTGGTACCATAGGAAGAAATACAGAAAGTCAGACAAAGAAGAAGGTGGTACGGTAGTGGCTGTAATGGCGACGAGATGAAACGCAGAGAGAAGTTAACGGATAGGGAAGGGCTAGTTGGTCTAGGTTAGCCCCGGCGATGACAAAGTAACCAGGAAGAGAAAACAAGAATGAGGAAAGTTAAAGTGGCAGGAATAACAAGAACTGCCATATGCGTCCTCGGTTTACTCCGAATCCTGAATCATGCTCACCACCATCGCCGAGCAGGGTTCAGCCAAAGCGGTATAATCGTTCAGGCGCAGGCCAAAGCATTCTTGCAACGATACCTCAGCGTTCGGCTGCACCTTCTGCTGCCCGCTATCACGTACGAGCTACGAAGCCACTTGGTATGACGATGGTACTGCTGCTGCTCCTGCAGCCCAATTTTCAGCTGCAAGTGGAGGACTAATTAGGACTCTGACCGGTTAACTGAAGGCGCAATTGTGGCTCGTCCAAATGCTCCTTTAGCGCCAAAGCTGGCGTTTTCTGCCCGAACTTCAGAGCGTTGTCGTCCTTGTGACGATACCCCCGACGACAGCCCCGCTTCCTTCCCTCTTCTCAACCGGATGCTAACTGCGAGCGCATAATGACAACGTGGGGTTGAACCAGTTCAGGGTTGACCAGCGAACAGCTGGACACCAATTGGACGTCTGTTTTCATTATTACTATTATTATCAAGACCCGACATAGATGAATGTTTCCACGTATACAATATTCCGCAAAATATAAATAATTCATAAATGCTCCTAAAAAATTAGTTCTTCTGAGTTTATAATCACATTAAGGCTAGTAGGTATTTACAACTGCGGCGGTTTATTGCTTGGTATGATTGTTATTAATGTGGAATCATCGAATAAACTTTATTTATTGGTAAATTTGAAAACTGAAGACCGTATCGATTCGTGGACTCTATTGTCTTCAGTAACCTGCGACTTGCACTTTCCTCGTGAACGAATATCGAATTAATGCAGGCTTTAACTCAAACAATGATTATATACTTCTCTGTCACAGGCGAACTGTTATTGCTTAAATAGCGCCTATATTATTATACTAATGAAATTACCATTGTCATGCTACGTTTATTCTAGCTGATGGAATCGAACTTGTTGCTAGGTTATTGTTAACCAAAAGTTTTAATAGCTTACTGGCAGGTTCAATAGAGTGTAGGTAAGCCATTGTGATTAATTTACAAAGAATCGTGTGGAAACACCAGTCGGATAGAGAAAGTAGTTTGACAGACACCTACGATAATGATTCGAGTTTAACTAATTAGCATTCTGGCTACTGTATTATTTTTTGTTACTTAAATGAAAAAAGAAAACGTCCGCTCATCTGTACCTGCTTTTCTCATGCGTTTTCAGCTTACCTAGGCGTCAAACTACTGGATGTACATACGTACTGGCGGTCAATATGAGTGAGCTTCGGTAGCGGTGGGCGCCTCACTTGACAACGGCGGGTACATCTCATGCTCCTGCGCAGCACGACCAATGGAGAGAAAACTGCTTGGGCCAACCAACCCTGCGCTCAACGGGTGCTCTAATGAACAGTTTCCGTATATTAGTGCTACTGGAGCATCGTCCCCACGAGCGACACCATGCGGACGGCCACTGTACAGCTTCCCGCCATACAGCTTTTTCCTCTAACCAAAGAGGCTTTGTGCTACTACCAGAGGCTCCAGCCTCCATTCGGTGTTGCCATTGTTCTGGCATACGCCTGACGTCTGGCGAGTCATTCAGGGAATTCGCTGTTAATTCGCCAAATTCCCGCGTTTCCAAGTCTCCCCGACGCTCATCTTGCCTGAAAGTTGGCGGGGTTTCAGCCAGCCTGGTTCCGTAGGCAACAGCGAACGTGAGTAAGGAAGGCCTCCCATAAGCCATGGGTTTGCTAACCGAGATTCCTGCTGTAACAGAGAGGTAGAAGGGCCAGAAATAGTAGCCCTCTATTGTCTTGATGGGTTGGCTATCGAAGGCGGGAGGCACGCCTCACACTATTTTGGCTCGGCCTTCATGGCGCTTTCCTTTTCCATGACTAAACTAGAGCACAATGAAACTTTAGTCTTATAGCCTTACCAAGCTCTTCCGACTGATGGACATGCTGAACAGGGTATGTTACTTGAGTATTTTTCATAGTAACAGTTCACTAGATAGAGTTCTTATGTGGCTGACTTTTGTTATTGAAAGCGTTGCTGAAAAGATGGAAATATTGTAATCACATGGGTTCTGTTTCTGTATCTACATTATAACTTTTTCCAGAATATTCTATGTAATATTGCCGCTAATAGGCATGTAGCCATTTATAAAGCATAACGAAAATTCATACTGAGTGTCTGGGTGGTTCAAGAACTAACGTGGGATAGAGGTTAAAATACATATTAGTGACGATCAGTTTCCCCAATGCATGGGTTAGACCCCTCGAGCATGGGTTCGACAGTGAGTAAAAATACTTCACTCGAGAAGAATTAATCATTTGCTAATTATTTTATTATGCAAATCGTGCATCTAATGGCTATAAAAAGCAGATACGCACACTGATAGTTAGACATATTTCGCATGCTCAATTTGTTGAATACCATCCACAGGACTGTACAATCTACTCAACAAATCTCTATCTGTTTATACGGTCTCTTATCATTCTACCTACTCCGGCGATATCGCCACCGTAATTGACCCGTCAAAAAGCTAACTTCAAACAACGTGAGTTAGCAGCTTGAACGACAAGAATCTTGTTCGCGTCTTTTACGTGAGGATACTGCCGAACAGCTGACTATGTACTCCTTATACGTGGCTCCTGTGGGTTGCCAAATACCAACACGGCGGTCGCTAACGTCGCCGCAGCAAATTCGAATTGAAACGCCTATTTCTGTCCTTTCTAGGCAGCGTGCGTGCGTCCTTTGCCTAGGATCAGGCCGAAAAGAGTTTAGAGCGCCATTAGTCGTCCGACACAGCTCCTATGTCCGCTTCTCTTGCTTTCATCCACTAGTGGATACTGAAAACATAACTCATGGCCGGGTCCTCTATGAAGCGCAGACGCCAGCTTTCTTTCCAGAATACTCTGACGATAGTTGTAGTGATTGTCATAGTAGAGATGCGTAGCCGTATGAAGGCAGCGGGCGCCTGTTGCAACGGCAGCAGTTACAGAGCGCTGGCTTTGCGTATCTAGCAGTGTGTCATAGCCTCCACAATCTTTATTAGGGTTAATAAGCTAGCGATGCCTTTGAATATCCTGTTAACGACCGCTCGATTGCTCGTGCTTGGACTGCTGCCAGTATACAGCTTATAGCTGCTAGTCTACAAACATTCACCCGACTTTCAACACAAGGGTAGACTTTCACTGCAGTGCCTGTTCCTCCACTACTGCAGCTATCGCCGTCGTTCCCATAGAATGTGTTGTGGGTACGCCGGTTGCGTGGCGGGAATTTACGGGTTATGGCAAGTGAGAAAAATTGGGCGAGGGAGAACGACGTGCTTGGAAAGGGGAAAAGTATGAGAGAACAAGACGATTTTTGGGAGAAAGTGATGGGAGTGCACATGAGGGGAGTTTTATTATTGAGCTCAACAGCCTTTTTAACTAAACAGTACAGCTGATAACGCGTTCAGTACTCAATAAGTACTTCCATGATTTGCGCAGGCCAAGCTGATAGCGCTGCAAACCTCAGTCTACATTCTCTAAAGAGCCGGCTTGCGTTTCGCTTTTCCTTTTCTTTTTCTTTAATTCCGTTATCCATAATTCGTAATTTCATCTCCTACAGTCCATCAAACCATGATAAGCTACCTCTGTTAAGCCCACCACGTTTTGGCTTTCCTGCGAACCGACAGACACGCCAAGATAACATATAATTGAAATATACCCCCCCGGTAATAGTATAATTCTTTTTTGCTCTCAAGTTAGAAACTAAACTTATAAGTCCATAGTTAGATTAGAATAAATTGAATTGATTTGATTAAATTCAAAGTATAATCTATTTTTTTATTTGCATTTAGTTAAATCGTTGGCATGTGTACGACATCAGCTTTATACGCCCGAATTTGCGTCATACATTTAACCAATGATATTACAGCTCTTATATATATATATATGTATATGTATTTTTTTTCTTAACACACGAACAATGTTGTATTTTTAAAGCTCTCATTTTACAGTGCCTGTTCGTACATCATATCAACGAAATCGTTTATGAAAGTCTATTGAATTAAAAAAAACATCGATTGTAACGCAAACGAAAAATTAGTTCGCCTATAAAAACGTATCGATAATTCGGTTACCGTAAATCGAGCTCGCAAATCGAGTTGCGTCATATTCGTGTAAAAAATTAGGCCAATCATTAGAGAAGAATGGAAGGAACTACGCTTATAAGCTGGGACCCTCGAACGTTCCAGGATCAGAAGAGGCTGAAACGGCACTCCTCAAAACTTTATAGGAGGCACAAAAGTGCTTGGGAAATCGATTTGAACTCAGTGTAAGTGAGCACCGTCTGAAGAAGAGAGTAGAGAAGAAATGTAAGCCAACTTTTGGCGTGGATGTACTTTTTCAATTGTACGTTTTGTATGAAACTTGTCTATCTCATCAGTAACTGATAAAGCTCATAGTGGTGTCTTAGGAAGCAAATTTGATTAAAGTACACGTGCCTTTTGTAGGAAAGGTGAAACTGTTTATAGAAGTATGCACGGATTGTAAAAATCATGTATCTTCTCAGGTCGATTCCCCGGCATGTCATTTTCAACTGAGAGATTTCACTGGCACTTACCAGGCAATAAATATAAATCTTCACGAAATGAAAAGTATAGTGTTTAAATTCTAAGCATCGTCTACATACTTGGCTTGTTTATCTCGTCTATATTATTTAGAAATTCGAGACTTTTTGCTTCAAATGTTCTTACTGATAGCGACGTAACTGAAGTTTTTAAATGTTACGCCTTTATTTTATTTTTATTCACTAAGCGGATAATTATCCTTTTGACGGGAACGGTATATCAAAATCCAATAAAAATTCTAAGATATCAAGTCTGTTTTGGGTCGTTGGTGTGAGAAAATGGTCCGACTAGTTTTCAATGAATAAATCGAACTGTTTTTGCTTGACGTTTTTTTTTTTGCGAATTGATTTCCTCTACTCAATACCATCGTGTAGCTATTTATTTCTTAAACTACTTGTCAGACTGTATCTACAGCTTTGGTTTTACCCATCGTGTCCTCTGCGTTTGAAACCATTTGCTTGTTTACCTGCGTCTACAGGCTGCAAATAATGAACTTATATTGCACTACAAAATCTATAACATCATCATACAGATTGTTTTAATCTTCTTACTTTCCTTTCAATTGTCATAGCAAGTAAGAACATTGTGCAAGCCGGCAGATGCAAGGCAGATCCGTCGTGTAACTTCAAGGTGCGACATCGCAAGTTTCTCGCATAGCGGTATGTTTTTCTGGTCAATTGTGGTGGAAACTTGTTTATTTAAAAGCCCCTACGAACCCTCAGTACCATACAGCACAACGAGTCGAACTATAAATCTATGTTATACATGAAAATCCAATCGGGTGTCCTGTTTGATCGGTTGTTTGTTGTCTTGCTCGTGTATATACCGATGTCTGCGCGTAGTGCCGCAAAATGCTACACATTGTTGGCTCACGCTACTGAGCCTGGTAGACAGTGGGCTCAATCCCAAAATGGAATTTGCCATATCGCTTCTAGAGTCGTCACAACTGAAATGTCCAATAATTCCCCGTTCGTCATATTTATCGACAGTGTCACCATAAAACTTGGCAAACATGAATGTGAATTTGATAAGAATACGAAATAAAGCCGTTCATCTTTAATGGCGTGAGACCCTCGTTAAACAATCTATATTCACTCTAAACTAATAATGCTAAGGTATAATAATGGCTATTGTAAATACTCTAAATAAACCGACAATCAATCTACTGTCTCACTAACGGTGAGTGGGCTCGGTGTTGAGGTAAAGCCTTCATTCGCTGGTCATTGATGCGCATTTGCTCACTGGGGATGCAACTTTCTACTAGGGACGCACGACGCAAGCGCTATATAATAGAAGGTAGTTATCAGCGTTGCAAAGGGGGTGTTTTCGTCGTGTACCGTTGTGCTCGTTTCAGCCCGTTGGCACCTCCTCCTAAGGACACTGCCAGGCCCAGTCCGTGTGCTTCCTGCTCCCGTTTGTTGTGCCAATAGTATAACAGCAGCGGTAGGTGCTACAGCACAAGTAGTAGTCGAGGCAGTAGCGACAGCTGGTGTAGTAGGCACAGGACGTGGCCCATGTACCCAACTCATGTGCGCACAGGGGCTCGATCTGAGAGCTTGTGATTCCGAATCCGAATCGGCGCCGTTCACTTGGGCTGGACCAGGCAACACGTACAAACGGTAACGTTGACAACGGGTGTAGCAGCATCAACAGTAGCATTGAGCAATAAACCTGCTGATAACGACACCAACCAATCAGGCAAGCAACGAATGCAGTAACGGAAAAACGAACTACCGTACACAGGCAAGCAGGTCCGATTGCTCTTTCTGCTAGTCCAACTCAGCCCGACCTACACCGCCCCCCTAGGAGCACTTTGCTATCTAGACAGCGTTATCTATAGCAGAACTGCGTCTGCTGCCCGCACGCTTCGATTCGCTCGGCCATTGCGATTGCTAGAAACAGCCACAGCGTCACAAGTAGCAGCGTCGGTAACAGCGATGTCGGAAGATCGGAAGCCGGTTGGATGGGTGTCAGGGAGGCGATTGGCTTCCGCATCCGTTAATGCGGCCCATATCCGGTGTATGGCGAGCTGATATTTAAGAACCATCACGTGCATCTCTTCAACGAGGTTTAGTTAGCTATTTATCTGATAGGAACAAACTTTAATTGTCGTAATAACCATAGTCGAGAGGTTAAGGATCTGAAAAGTCAAATAGAGACCTCTATACTTGTACACCATCACTATAACCAGGCACGAAGCATTATCGCGAGATGTCATAAAAAATGATTACAGATGTGAAGCTAAATCAAACTGTGATTTATTCACGATTAGAGTTTTTCTAATATTCTAAGAACCGTTTGAAGTCCGTCATTCCATGATTGTAAAAATGTTGCCGTAAAGTTTATTGTTATCACATTAGTCCAGCGAACTTACGGCAGGGAACTTGTCAAAAGCCATCTGTGATGAAAAAAGATTTCAGGTCAGGACGGTAGGCATTCGTTACATTTTTGTCCAATGACAGGACCGAGCGCGGCCGCAAATCTCGTACTGCTGCGCATGCATCTGAAGGAAACGTTTGATATGAAATCTAAAGCAGAAAACTCAACGTCTTAAAATTCGCGGAACTCTGAAATTTTGCTCTTGCAGTTGAACACTATTGAATCTCCGAGGTCGGTCGGTATACTTTGAGCCAATATTATCTGGGTTTCTTTAGGACAACAATAATTCATCGCTATTTTAAAGTTAAAACAAAGGCTTTATCTAAATACTACAGTAGTAAATTAGTCCGCCTGATTTGACGTCAAAGATGTGATTTCATGGTAAAATCTCTTTCGACCAAAACCGGTTGGTCTTCTCTTCATACAGTAACCTTCGCTGTAAGGTATTTTGCAATATTTCAGCTCTCGAGAAATAAGTTCACTTAACGAATACGGTTTCATTAGAATCTAAAATCCTTCAAAGATTTGCTCATCTTTTAAGGATTATTAAAAAATTATCTCGTCTTCGTTGGACTGTATAATGCAACTTTTGTTTTCCCACTTAGCACAAAAATCCGTTCTCGCCTTTAGGGTAACGCGCAACCTACTCGCTAATCTTTGGCGCCTAGTCCGCAGCAGCGATGAGTACGCTCGGATATATTTAGTGTGCATATTTATGTGTACAAGTTATAATTGTCCTATAGCCATCATGATGTACATTCCCTATTTTTCTAATTTGTCGGCGTCGCTGCCAATTTTCGTAAATTGTTATCAGCGAGAGGAAAGCGTTACGACTCTACTAGTTTAACCACCATTGCATTTGACAATTTGGCGTCTATGCAAATTTGATACGTCACCAATCGACGGGTAATTCTATTCAAACTTCAAATATCCAATGGCAAATCAGCCAGCACTGCCACCTTCCACAACCACCGTCGCCACTTCAACGACGACCACGGGCCAATTCGAGACCGTAAATTGGCCCTGGCCGGCCTTTATTCCGCTCCGTCTGTCCTTCAGCTCCTGTTCGCCTTTGCCATACCGATTCGGCCGCAACGCAACGAATGTCTTACTCCCTATTCCCAGTAGCGCGGTTTCGGCCGCCGACACTGCTGCACGCAAAGAAAGCCTCCTGCGTGTAGACGGCAGGCATAAAGCGAGATACGGAGCAAGAGCGCAGCACAGAGCCTGCACTGTTCAGGCAAACTAACAGCTCATCGGACTCGTTAGCGGCATAGCTCAAACAACCTTGGTTCGTTTTTGCTTCTTCTTGCTGTCGCTTCTGCTGGTGGTTTTTTTCGCTTGCTGTGTTTCTTTGAACAAACGAGACAAAACGAAACGAGCAGGCAAGAGAAGGGAAAACGCTAAAAAGAACAGACAGGCGAGGGCTGGGGTTTGCCCTCTTCCTGCCGCCGGCTATCGCCGCCGCCTTTGTCGGCGTGCGGCTACGAAGGAACAGCAGAGCGGCAGGCGAAAGTAGAGACAAAACTGCGGAAGGAGTAGCTCGAAAGCGAACAGGAATGCGTACGATTCTTATAGCGAGGATGGGTGCGAGCTGGGTAAGATTGCAGTAGGATGGATAAATCTGTGAATTCCCTTTGAGCAAGGTATTACTTGCCATCCTAGTGGATGAGGCTAGCTATGTGGCTGTGGCGGAGGCAGCAGCGATGCCTGCAGACGCTATGTGCTTCCACGGCGCTGTCGGCTAACCAGGCTGTTTGACTGGCCGCGGGTCTACTACCCGAGAACGACGGAGGTAGCAACACCACGAGTAGCAGAGCATTACTGTATTTCATGCGCGAATGAGGTAAAGCACGGGATGAGGCGGGGTGTGGAATGCCCTGTCTGTACGTAGGGGTCTAGAGATATTTGTCGGTGGAAGAGCCGGCGGAACAAGCGATAGCTGATTGATTGATTAAGGGAAGTGAAGACAAATTGAACCAAAAACCTCCCTCATAAGGGAGCACTGACGCTAGACAAAATAAGAGATTATTGAGACTCGAGATAAAGTTGGCGATTGGACCACGGGGTGATGGCTCAACATCGAAAGATGAAGTAAGAAGAGGGATGGAAAAAAAAGCGGAGAAGATGTAGCGTAAGAGAAAGTCTACAACCCCAAGAAATGGGTACAAAAATGGAGAGGATAAAACCTTTGGAGGATGAAGCACAAAAAAACGAGATCACATGGTGAACCGGAAGTTTGGAAGTACTACGCCGCAAACACCCTACAACAAAATTAGCTATGCAGCCAAACATCCGCGCGTGAGAGACGGCAAAATCGGCAGATCCAGCAAAACTCAGAAAAGTTAGCGGTACTCAAGAAATGCATAAGCGCGAAGAGAATTGTATACGTCCTTCTGCTGGCGCTGTTGTAACGAGCCTTAGTGTTAGTTTCCACCTGGCTTTTGCTCCCTCCGCACAGATGTTGTTTCGTTCTCTCCTACTAGGTCACGCCAGATGGCAGACCGTTCGTGGTACTTCTACTTAATCTTGCAATAGAGAACGGAGGAGACGACGAGAAGCTGTTTCTTCAACAGACGAACTGCAAATGATCCCCTACTGCTTTCCATGAAAAAAAAAAAAAAAGCAAGGAAAGCTCCGGAGTTCCCAGCCACACGAATTTACATGTTTGGAAATAAATTCTCTCTTGTTCTCGATAGCCTTCTTTCAGTGTTTGCCCTAGAGAATGAGGATATGGAGTTAGCTAATAAGTTGTATAACGGCTTTACATGCACGCATACGAATATGTACTATACTGCTCGATCGGCATGTTAGTTCTTCATTCCATGAGGCAATAAGCGAAAACAACAAGCTATCTTAATGAACCGTGGCATACGGAACATATTTCCACCATCTATCAAGACCAGTGTAGTCATTGTATCAATTTGCTTTTTTGTTGATAACGGTGCCATTTAACTACCATTATTCAAAATACTTGTAATGTCTAAGAATGGCTCAGTCATATATCATCTCACCACCTGCAGCCGCGCTTCCTACCAAGTGTTAGCACGATTGAAATGCCTGACGTATCCGAGGCTCAAATACCCTTAGAGTACGATCAGTATTCTTGTACGGGAACTGGAACATAGACTAGATTCAATAAATGTTAAATGAACGTAAACCTAATCCGAGCTTACCACCATTCTTTACTCAATAGCCGGACTGACTACAATACACGATACAATTAAACGCGGCCTTTTTGTGATCAGGAAAAAATGCCACGACAGGGAGCCATTTGAACTGAGCGTGAACTTTCTTCAAGGCTGTCATGGTAGCTCTGGTCAGTTCTCGACGAGCCAGTAGCATGCCATTAGAAGGCGTTAGTTAATAACTAGACAGGTCGGACTCGTCGCTTGCGGTTTTTTTTTATCGTCTCAGTTTGAGTACACACCTTAGTCCCCTTAGGACTTCCTAGATGATCTAGCATTTGGTCTTGTTGTAGAGTGTTATTGTCTAGAATCCGTAGCTGCTATTCATGTGTAGCGTTCAATCTCACTTGCTGTTGCTGCTAGTCGGCTTTAAAAAATTACTTTTTTTTCGGTTTTATGTACTAGCTAGCGATTCATTCAGCGGCCGCTACAAAGCATCTCTTAGATCCT